TATGACTCATTTTGAGACAATATCTTTTAAAATGATTAACAAAGCATTAATACTAAAGCTGGAGAGAGGATTCAGAGGTATTCCATTACTTGTGGTGTAAGATTGAGGACCTGAGTTCAAATTTCAACATCTCACATAAAAACCAGGCTGTACCTCAGAGGAGACAGGGAGAGTCTATTCTGGGAGCTTGCTGGCCAGATAATCTAGCAGAAATATTGAGCTCCAGGTTCACTGTGAGACAGTCTCACAACATAAGAAGTGACTGAGGAGGACACCAGAGTAATGGTTATACAGTTACAGACACTTAGGCAGCACAAGAGAGTATCTTACTATATATACATCTATATATTTGAGAATTAATATATATTTGATCATATTAAATTCTTCCCAGATCCATCCCTTTACTACCCATCCAATTTTGTTTTTTGGTTTTGATTAATCCCATCAAAAACAAATTGTGCTGTCCATTTCAAGTATTCCTGGATATATAGCTGTCTACTAGAGTGTGGGCTACACTTTTAGGAAACAAGGAAGCCTTCTCACCCAGAATCTAACACTTGTCAATACTTCCTTTACTCTCTCTTCATCTGTGTTCCAATACGTGAGATTAAGGTTAAATTCTATTTTTTAATGTAAGGATGTCCAGTTGCTTCCTAAATTTTTTTGAAGTGGTTATTTCGCCTCTACAGGATTATTGAGCTTTTGCCTACAATCAGGTGGGCATATCCCTGGCTTTCTATTTTATTCCAGTAGCCTATTATTCCTTTGCTAATACCATATGCTTGTTAGTATGGCTAAATGACACAACTTGAAATGTAGCATACTATTAATGTACTTCATATTTACTTTTCTTGCCACAGAAATCATAGGATAATCATACTAAACTAAACTTTGGAAACATTTTGTCGCATTTTATTATATATAATGACCCCATTCATGTTTTTAGTAAGACTCATTTACTTAAACCTTTGGTTTGTTACATAAGTGTTTTATAGCTTTGATATTTAAATATCGAAGGTGTCAAATTCATACCTATGTATGTCATTCATCGGGAAGTAATTTACAATCACAATCTTGGTTTCTACACATTTATCACTAATATATAGACATTCAGCTGAGATTTGTTGCACACTCTTGGACATGAGCAGCTTGATGAACATTTTTGCTGTTGTTTGCTTATTTTAGATACGATTTCTTTCCTTCCAATTTTATGTGTTATATTTCCTTCACCGCCTTTTGTTACCTTGGTGTGCAGAGTAGATGTTTTCATATTAGGTTTAAAGAGAATACTGAGAGCTGAATGACGTCTTTGCCTTCTTGCTGACTTCAGGAGAAAGGCTGTCTCCATCGTTTTAATGTTGGTATTAGATATTTTGAAGATATTCTTAATCAAAATAAGGAACTACTTCAATTTGTTTCTGAAGTACCTTTTTACTTTTATAGCTTTTTAACCATTCATTTTGTGTGGAGTGTGAGCACAGTGTCATAGTGCATGCTAGAAGACAACTTGTGGGAGTTGGTTCTCTTCTATGTGGATTCTGGGAATCTCAGGTTTATAGGGCTGGTAGTCAATGACCTTATACACAAAGTCATCTTGCTGGTCCTTGTGCTGACTTGTCAATTGCTTTTCCTACTTCGTCTTATTATTATATGGTATTTACTTTTTAGTTTGTTAATAAAGTGACTCAGCCTTCTGTGTATCTTCTGATCAAGGACCTGCATGAACACATGAATATGAATATAAAGTTATGAATGATATGTTAACAAGTTATATTAGTTTTCTATTGTTGCACTCAGAAATTACCATTAACTTCCCAAGAAACAAGAAATGCTATTCCCTACTAGATCTGGATGTTTGAATTCACTGGGCAAATCAGTTTGTGCCAGGGTTCTTCTAAAGGAAGCATATTTTCTTCCCTTTTCAAATCTCCAATAGTCACTTAAAGTCCTTTGCTTATGTGCTCCTTCCTCCATATTTAAAACAAGGAGTACAGCATTTTCCGATTTCTCTGTCCTTTTGCTTGTAACTGGAATTACATACCCTTTTTTCACTCTCTCCCTCATTCTCTCTCTCTCTCTCCCACTATCTGAATCTGCAAAGTCCTTTATTACTGACTTGGGGGAGAGCCCTCAGTCAGCACCAGGGGAATGTAAAAAAAAATCTGCGAATGTGGCATGGGCTAGGCTTTCCTATCTGAGAAGTAAGCAAGAAAACACATGCTTCCTGCTGTTAACCTAAGAGAACAGGAAAAACACACACTTTCCTGAAGGTAACCTTCTCTTTTATATGGATTTAAGTAATCTCTTTCTTGACAGTCCCTGTAGTTATATCTCTTTATATACATCCCTCTCTCCAGCAGTTACATCTCTCTATATTCAGTTACATCTCTTCTCTATACACATTTGTCTCTCTGCTCTGCCACGTTTCTTCACACACTACTACATCATCCACTCAGTCCATCACTCATGCACACTCGTGTAACTACATCTGTTTCGTTATGTCTTATACCCCTCACATTTCTCTCACACTTCTCTCTCTATACATTCTGCCACATCTCCTTGGACCATACACATCCACTCTCATGCTCACTCACTGTCTCACACGTCTTTCCCTCCAGTCACCTTCTTTAGAGCTCTATGCAGCCACCTCTCTCTACGCCACTGCTGCTTCTTCTCACAGCCAAACTCTGGACAAGTATAAATTACATTTTCAGGGCTCAACCCATTCTCATAACACATGATAAGTCAAGTAGTTTCTCTTAGGCTAAGGAGGTCTCATTGACCCATTAGTGAGTAAAGTTCAGCCAAGCACCTAGCTCAAATGGTTAGAGTTCCCAGACAGAAAATGACATTGGAATTCAAGACTTAACAATAACAATTAATTATCTGGACCTTGAGTGGTAGGGAGGATGTGTAGACTAAAGTTGCTTTAAGCTCTGACCTTGAATCAGCAACAAACAACCAGGAAAATAACCTCATGTATTTGTCTCTAGGGGCAACCAGATATCCATCTCCAGGGGTGTTGAAGGAGCTGCGGGCTGCATTCCTGCCACCCAGCTCCCGGACGCCTGGCTAATTTATGCCCCAAAATAACAACACACAAATTGTATTCTTTTAAACACTGCTTGGCCCATTAGCTCTAGCCTCTTCTTGGCTCTCATATCTTGCCTAACCCATTTTTAGTTATCTGTGTAGCACCAGTCTTACCAGGAAAGATTCAGCATGTCTGCCCTGGAGAGAGAGGCATTGTGTTATAATAGGAGTGGCGGGGCTGCATCGCCAGCACCCTGGCCTCCTGGCTAGCTTATGCTCCGAAATAACAACACACAAACTGTATTCTTTTAAACACTGCTTGGCCCATTTCTATCTAGCCTCTTCTAGGCTAATTCTCACATATTAATTTAGCCCATTTCTAATCATCTGTGTAGCACAGCTAGGTGCGCTTAACGGGAAGATTCTAGCCTACGTCCATCCTGGGTCGGAGCTTCATCTTGTGTGTCTCAGAGAGCAGAGCTATCGCATCCACCTGGGAGAAGGGAGCATGGCGTCTCTCTCCAGAGAGCAGAGCTGTCGAGTCTGAACTCACTTCCTCTTCCTCCCAGCATTCTGTTCTGTTTACTCCTCCCACCTATGTTTTAACCTATGAGGCCAAGCAGTTTCTTTATTGCTTAACCAATGAAATCAACAGATTGATATATGACACTCCCACATCAGCATTGTGTCTGAGCTCACTTCCTCTTCCTCCCAGCATTCTGTTCTGTTTACTCCACCCACCTAAAGGCTGGCCAATCAAATGGGCCAAGGCAGTTTCTTTATTAGCCAATGACCTTCCTCCATCACAGGGGCAACCAGCCTGCTTTCAATTTGTTCTGGAGTCTAAATCAGTTGTCTGTGTGAAAGGCTGTCTTTATGAATGATAATCCGATGTCAATCTGAGTAATATGAAATATCCTAGTATTATTTCTATTCATCAAAATTAAATATATTAAGTAGAAATCATCTTCCTGACCATCCAAAGCTATATGTGTGCCCAATAGATGGAATATTTTCATTAGATAAACACAGAAGCAGTGGGAAAACACCCAAAGTTGTTCTTAGGGAAGAAATAAAATGGCACATAAGAGAAATTATGGGCAGATACAAACAATTATGTACAAGTCAGTCACCTAATGGCCTTGCAAGGTGGGGCTCTCCAACAGAAATTATGTCTAGTGAGTTGGCCTTCTGAACACTAGTTGCCACCTGCTGTATACCCCCATGGCCCTCTGCAGCCCTAGCCACATAAGAAATTCAGAAGTTACAGGGTAAACATTGTAAAAGACCGTTTCTCAGGCTATCTCATTTTCTTCCTTGCTGTATCCTGCTTCTCTTTCTTTTAGGGTAGGCTTATTTTTACTTTTATAACAAAATTCTGTTATAGGTTGTTATACCTGAAACTGTGTAATTTTCCAAGTGACACTCTCCCATGAGTGGTAACACCGTGAGGAGTGCCGACTCAGGTTATCTATGTGTACTGCACTCTTTAGTGTTAGTATAGTGTCATACAGCACAAGATTCTGCTATTCAGTCCAGGACAAAATGAAACACCCTGCTCTGTGTCTTATGAGTATGAGTTTAATAGCTATAGCAGGTTGAATATGTACTATTTTTTTTTTTTTTGAGGTAGGGTTTCTCTGTAGCTTTGGTGCCTGTCCTGGAACTAGCTCTTGTAGACCAGGCTGGCCTCAAACTCACAGAGATCTGCCTGCCTCTGCCTCCCGAGTGCTGGGATTAAAGGCATGCACCACCACTGCCAGGCTGTACTAATATTTTTTTAGCTTCCAGTAACTCAGCATTTGTGGCTTGACAGTCTTGCTTGAGCTATGTTGCTGTGCTGAAGCATGCTGAGTAGCAGTGCCAAGTGAGGAGAGTACCACATTCAGCCTGTCTGTCACCCGCTCCATGACCACAGTGTTAAGGCTCTGCCAACTGGTGTGCAAAGGAATGAGCGTCTCGAAATTTCAGTAACTCTTTATTGATAAGACATTAAAATTGAATCTCATATGATTTTACATGCTACAAGGTGTTTTTTAAACAGTTTAATAAAGTAAAAAAAATTTAGTCTGTGGACCATATAAAAATAGGTGGCAGGCAGATTCAGCTAAGGGCCTTAATTTGCCAACCACTGCCATAATCTCATGGAATCTACATTCTTAAGGAAAAAAATGAGAATAAACCATAAAACAAAAATGTGACTATATTAAAAGCAGATTATTTTGTGCTAAACAGGAGGGAACTGGCAAAGTGAACCTGAATAATGAGAAGATGGGTATGAGTAAAGTAACACACAGAGAATTCTACAAAGACAGGATACCTGGATCAAGTGTGAAGGCCCAAGTTCAGTGACTCAGAGGCACCAAGAGTGTGGCAAGAGCACAGTGAGGAAGTGCAGTGAGGGGAACATTTCGGAACCAGACACAGCGGTCCATCATGACGAGAAGGCATTGCTAATTAGATGACCACAGGAGGAGCTCTACCACATGCACCCTAGCGTGAGACATGCTCTCCTGGCCCTCGCTGCCTTACATGACTGCACAAGAAGATAAAGGAGGAGGAAATGGTTTTTATTTAGCCAGATAGTTCTAGAAAAACACAGTATCTTCTGTATAATTCAGTATGTAAATAAGAACAGATACAATCAACCACACAATAGCTTCATTCAATTCTCCTCCTTCATGTTAAGATAATTTACTTATATTTTCTCATCACACAAATATATCATTCACTGGATAACAAAGGGTCATTTATAACAATTTTATGCAAAAGTCTAGTTTTCATATAAAATTTACAATATTAAGCAATCTATTTCCACCATTTTCTTTTTATACTCAGACTAATATGTATGTGACAAGCTTGTCTTTGCTTTTTATTTTGTACTGGAAGGAAATTATTTTAAGTTTGTATTTGTGAAAACATTTTTATCCAGCAATCAAATGCTAGACTTTCCTTTTAAGTGGCTATGCACTCAGACTAAACTAGTTAAACTAGTTACCCTTGTTCAGCAATTGGTTAATTTCAGAGATTTCTTCTTTTGGAATTGAGGCCACTCATTGATAGATGTAGCAGACACTGTTCTGGACTGTTCACAAGCACAGCACAAGAAATGCTCATATTTGAACACAGATGCATACATATATAAATATATACTGCATCTATAGCATTATCTAAAGTCCTTCATAACTGTGAGATATCGTTCAGTTAGTTTCTTGTTTTCATTTATTTTCTCCAGTATTGCTTCTAGTAAATATGAGGCAAAAGGAAGCTGTAAGAGAAAAAACAAACAAAAATTATTAAACTCTGTATTTTCTTCAATTCAAAAACATATACAAGGTCTGATGAGATGACTCAGAAGATAAGGGCCCTTTCCATGAAGCCTGAGCTTCATTCCCAGAATCCACATGGTGGAAGGAGAAACCTGACTACCGAGGTTATCATCTGACCTACACAGACACACAGATGCACAGACATATACATATACACACTCAGGCACACAAGCACACCATATGGTCTGCATGTTTACACGCAAATACACAAATATGAAAAAAGTAATGCAAACTGAATGAAACGGACAAAACCACACACTAAATATCATTAAGGCATTAGATTTTAGCTGTCTGTAACTTTGAAGTTATAATAGTACCCTACTGGATCACTTTTCAAGAGATCTTCCTGGTTAGTGTGGGTAATTTTGGCGTTTCTAATAAAAATGATAAAAGAGCAGAAATAAAATGAAAAAAGATAAACGTCTTATTGACCAATTCATGGTTTACTGACCATGTTAATGATATAATCTGCAATACAAGCAGCTAAGCCATTCATCTTCAATCAGCTGATCAATAGCAGGTTACAGTCATCTCTGGGGCACACAGGCCCACAGTAGTGGTACTATATGTTCATCAGTCATAAAAGAATGAGAGAGAACTATCAATACACTTGTCTGTATGAGAGCCCAATATCTCAAGAGTTGCAGGATAAAATTTCAGAGAGAAAAAAATGGTGAAAGTATACCCATTGATTAAGTTGTTAAAGTTTGTTTGGTATATCAAAGTGTAATACACATGTTTCAGAAACTGCTGAGTTTATGAAATGTGAACACATTTTAAAATTTCATAATTGATAAAACTTTGCTGGTAGTTTTATTGTTCCTGATGCTTCCTTGGTTTGCTGGTAGAATGCGAACATGCCCACACATGGGTTGTAAGTAAGTCTGGACTGCCACCTCAAATACCCTCTGAAGTTTTACTTATTTCTTTTGATCTTATTTCCTCTCTTTGGTTTCATATAAGAAGTCTGTCATAATTAGGAAATTCATTAAATATTTCCTGGATTTGTCCTTTTGATTGATCAGGAAAATATTATTTTGTTTGTTTCCCTAAAACTGTTAGAATGCTTATAGTATTCATATCTCTTTCCTAGAGGGAAGTCATGTCAGGTTTTTGCTGTGTTAGGACAAGCCCTGTCAGGACTGAGCAAAGACAGCCAGTCGCTGTCCTCTGTATGGTTCAGCCAAAGGATTTGATCAAGTCGATCAAAATGGTTGTTTCCTGAATTTGAATTGGTAAGAAGAGAAAACATGGGCAGAGATCTTTCCGTATCTTCCTAGTCGATCTGAGTGTATGCCTGCATTCCCCAAACTCAAGACCTTCGCATGCACATCTCTTTCACCTGAAATTCACCAGGGAGGAAAGTGCCAAGCAGGGTATTTCTTTAAAGATACAACCGAACATAAGAAATGTATGCTGACATGAAAGAGTCATCCAGGAGGGAAAACATCATCATAAACATATATGCACAGCATACACATTTCAGGGCTAGAAATGTGGGGAGAGAGCATTAGATATTAGGAGAAGGGCGTATTTGCCTCTTTTCTTGAGGACAATAACAACAAATTCTTGCTTTGGCAAACAGCATATTTGAGAAGAAGAAAGGAGTTGCACTTGATAAAACTGCTAGTTTTACTAATTTGATAATTAAGTCATCAGGGCATTAATGTTAGCTTTTAAAGAATGCATAATAAAAAAAGACTCGTTTTTGTCTAGCAAGCACTAGGCCCCAAATGACAAGACCCTGGGGTAACTATTATTTAACTATGTGAATAAATACACAATTCTATCTGAAAGCAAAATAGATACGATGGAACAACCTCCCATCTTTTATCGGCAGAAATGAATGCTTAAAAAGTTTATTCCCTAATATTTTCTAGAAAAATGAATCTCTGATCAAGCAAGTCTGAGTAACGTCAAACTTTAAAACAGTTCCATTATCTCAGGACACATGACTAGGGTGCTTCTTGGCACTGTGCTTCTCTGAGAGTAAAGCTGTCTGTTTTCAAGGCAGCCTTTGGTTCTTCATGGTCTATTTCATGGTCTCATGTTCAGTTTCTGCTCTAGGGGCTCATGTGAAAAGCATGCTGGCTTTGTGATTACCTAGCTAACAACACTCTATTTCTCACATGTTACTCCTCTAAACTCAGTATTCCTTCTGACTGACATTTATAAGCTTGTCGTTTATGATTGTGTTGATAGACGTAGTTCCAAATGGTCATAGAAAAATATACATTTTTGTTCTTTGAGAATTTCATACATGTATATAATGTGTTTTGGTTAAAGACAGCCTGTATTTCCTCTCTTCTAATTTTTCCCCTGTCTCTCACATCTCTTTCCCTCCTAACTCAAAGGACTCTGTGTTTGAACCACTGAGTTCACTTGGTGCTCCCTGTGTGTGCATGGGTCGTAGGGCCCTCTGCTAAATCGTGAGCAGTCTCTCAGGGACCAGACTGCTGGAGAAAACTGACCCTCTCCTGCAGCAGCTATCAGCTGCCAATAGCTCTTTGGGTATTGATGAGATGCTGGGAGACACTCCTCCATCCATGCTGGGATTTTGTAGGATTTATTTTATAGATCTTCTGAATACAGTTACAGTTGCTGTGAATTCATGTGTACAAAGGTCTTTTCATGAAAAATAAGAAAAGAAAATTAAAAAAATATTTAAGGAAGGCACCTCCTTGGTTGATGAGAGCACTTGCTGCACAAGCGTGACATCCTGATTCAGATTCGTGGTGCCTCGGGAAAGCCGGGCATGAGGCATGCACCTGGCATGTGGGGTGGACACCAGAGGTCGCCTCCACACAGAAAGCTCCAGGTTCAGTGAGACCCTGTGTCAGGAACACAAGCTGGGAAGTGAGAGAGCAGGACACCCTGTGTCCTTTTCTGGCCTCTAAAAATTTGTGTAAGGGTGTGGGCACTTGCACATACACATTTGAAAAGTATCTGTAACATATACACAAAATAATATAATGTTCAATCTTAATTAAAGAATTTTTAACAGAAAATTTATGTGATTTTTATAAAAATAATCTTAATAAATTTAAAGATCGATTAAGGAAAGTCAGAATTATAAAAAATTTATAAATGGTTATGAACTATTTAATAAACATATACACTGCTTTCAAATGAGTACATTCCAAAGTGAACTAGTAAGTTCTAGCTCCTTTCACTTGTGACAAATAGCTCCTGCCGTTGAGTCTTATGAGTCTTTCCATGCACCAGGAGCTTCAGTTTTAGAAATAGCACTCCTTCCTAAGTTTATACTATCTATTCATTTAGTAAGATTTTAAGTAAGTTATACAAATATGATTCTGCTTAAGTTAGAATTAATTCACAAAAATTCCTAAGAGATTAAGAATGAGATTTCTCAGTCAGCCATTTTGGTTAATTGAGTCTCATCACTTATACCATATACGGATTATCATCAAAATGCAAATATCACAAATTAATGTTAATCTAAAGTTAGATGTACTATAACAATCTTTAGTGATGCATAAAAGCTCTCCAAAATCTTCTTAGTTTCATTTTAAAGGATGTAATCATGTCTTTCTCTGTGTGGGTACATGCATATGAGTGCAGGCACCAGCAGAATTTAGAATGGAGCACTGAGTGCCCTGGAGCTGGAGTTGCGGGTGGCTACGAACTGCCTGACATGGGTGCTGCAACTTATACTTGGGTCCTCTGCAAGAACACATGTATTCATAGCTGCTGAGCTGTCCAATAGCCCTCTCCTCAAAAATACTATGAGAATTACATGTACATCATCAGTTCCTGGCACACAGCTCTATATTAGTAAATTAGGACTGAAATGGTACTTAAAATATGGCCTATCTTTAAAAGTCCCATGGCTTGCCTAATCACTTTAAGTACATGTAGAGTTCTGGGGTTACAGGCTTATACCACCACTAATACATTTTTAAGTGTAAAATATGTTTAAGGAGCAGGCAATCTGCACCTTCTGCTACCTGCGTGTTGAATTATCTCAGGTTGAGAAAAAAAAACAGGCTAGCTAAAAGATAGACCAGTTATATTTTTCTTCATTATAAAGGGCAAACTCACTAAACAGGAATGAGAAGTCCAAGCTCAGCTGTGTACCAAAGGAACCAAAGGAACTACAGAGAGAGCCCCTGGGCCTCAAGGCGGTTTTTCTCCAGGTACCAGAAAGCCATGCCCACCTCTTAAAGATAATTGGCTGACAAAGATTCCCCATCACTTGAGAGTCTACATCAAGAGAAAACTTGTTTCTTCTGGAAGTTTGCAGTTAAAGAAGCAGTTTCTGCATGCATTCTGAAGGCTGCTAAGCCTCTCCAAGAGCTCGGACACAGAAAGCACCACTGTCCTTTTCATGACAGGATTCTAGGGTTGGGGTTAAGTAGCAACTGGAATGGCTAACATACACATTTCATCAAACACACAGAAAAACAGCACACCTAACAATTACACTGTCTTGCTTTGATGATGGCTTGCGGTAGACCACAACATTCAGGGGGCTTGTATGATCTATTTCTCCTATATAAAAAGGAGAAGTGAAACTCCTAACTATACGCGCAGAATGTGGAAATGTGGAGCTGGAAGATTTGATGCTGAGTGAGATTTCTTGATATAAATGTTTATCAGGGATGTCTGAACAACTAAACTTTTCCTTGATCTTTTTTAAAGAAGGTCTTCAGCGGCTTGGTTGCCACTGTTGTAGAATGAGATTTGTTACCGAAGCGATTTCTTGAAATCGGAAGGGCTTTTAACCTCCCCTTTGCTCTTTGGAATTGGTTTGCCACTGTCAGAATCCTAAAATTATTCACACTCAGAAATTGGGGTTAGTGTTCCTGTATAAGGTGAGATTTAAAATGCAGATGTTTGAGAACTATCTTAAGAAAACACTGAAGCCTAAAACCCATGACTCCAAGATATCAGTAGTGACTAGAGTTTCAGCTAATAA